CAAGTTTTGGATAAAACATTACATTTTATTTTTTTAATCGAATAAAACAGGGATGACTAACACAAAAAGACATTAAGTAGACTGTTAAATATGTATAATTGATTTATCATGTGATGGGAAATGATTGAACCAATAATTAAAACATAAATAAAGCTTGTATTTTATAGGGGAATATACACTCACCGGCCACTTTATTAGGTACCCCATGCTAGTAACGGGTTGGACCCCCTTTTGCCTTCAGAACTGCCTCAATTCTTCGTGGCATAGATTCAACAAGGTGCTGGAAGCATTCCTCAGGGAGTTTGGTCCATATTGACATGATGGCATCACACAGTTGCCGCAGATTTGTCGGCTGCACATCCATGATGCGAATCTCCCGTTCCACCACATCCCAAAGATGCTCTATTGGGTTGAGATCTGGTGACTGTGGAGGCCATTTTAGTACAGTGAACTCATTGTCATGTTCAAGAAACCAATTTGAAATGATTAGAGCTTTGTGACATGGTGGAAGTAGCCATCAGAGGATGGGTACATGGTGGCCATAAAGGGATGGACATGGTCAGAAACAATGCTCAGGTAGGCCGTGGCATTTAAACGATGCCCAATTGGCACTAAGGGGCCTAAAGTGTGCCAGGAAAACATCCCCCACACCATTACACCACCACCACCAGCCTGCACAGTGGTAACAAGGCATGATGGTTCCATGTTCTCATTCTGTTTACGCCAAATTCTGACTCTAACATCTGAATGTCTCAACAGAAATCGAGACTCATCAGACCAGGCAACATTTTTCCAGTCTTCAACTGTTCAATTTTGGTGAGCTCTTGCAAATTGTAGCCTCTTTTTCCTATTTGTAGTGGAGATGAGTGGTACCCGGTGGAGTCTTCTGCTGTTGTAGCCCATCCGCCTCAAGGTTGTGCGTGTTGTGGCTTCACAAATGCTTTGCTGCATACCTCGGTTGTAACGAGTGGTTATTTCAGTCACTGTTGCCCTTCTATCAGCTCGAACCAGTCTGGCCATTCTCCTCTGACCTCTGGCATCAACAAGGCATTTCCGCCCACAGAACTGCCGCTCACTGGATGTTTTTTCTTTTTCGGACCATTCTCTGTAAACCCTAGAGATGGTTGTGCGTGAAAATCCCAGTAGATTAGCAGTTTCTGAAATACTCAGACCAGCCCTTCTGGCACCAACAATCATGCCACGTTCAAAGTCACTCAAATCACCTTTCTTCCCCATACTGATGCTCGGTTTGAACTGCAGGAGATTGTCTTGACCATGTCTACATGCCTAAATGCACTGAGTTGCCGCCATGTGATTGGCTGCTTAGAAATTAAGTGTTAACGAGCAGTTGGACCGGTGTACCTAATAAAGTGGCCGGTGAGTGTAGATTATCTTTAAATCAAACAGGGTTAGAATTAACACTGAATTAATGGCATATAACAAATAATGAACAAATCGAGGCTTGTTAAAGAACATTTCAAATACATTTTATTGTTATTTTCCATTTTCATTTTAGTTAGTTTTAGTTAACTATGATAACCCTGCTAGAATATGCATAATAATTTTAAATTTGGAAAGAAAACAACTATTAATTTGCTTTTAAATTGCAGCAAATCAAGGCCGTGTTAACTTTGTTATTATCAATTATTAACTCTGAAAGTGCATGGTACATTGAATTTTTATCATTATATCAATGCATTTTTACAGGCCAAATCAGGAGGCTTTGACATATATTGTTGCCCTAGATGCCTTTGTTTTGAGAGCATTTGAACAGGTGTGGAAAGCAACAGTGAATATCCCATTTGTGGCAATATCAGAAAAGATAAAGAGACATGCTGGGAAGGGGCACCACTGAAAGACACTGAAACTGGGGCCGAGAGTGTATCTTGGTTTTAGGAAGTCATTAGTTCAGAATGGATTCACATACGATCAAACACGGTCCCGTGAGGGTCATTGCCTATATGAGGTGAATGTAACTTTGGTGTGTGTCTAGTGGGCTTTGTGATATTTAATAGCTCTTCCGAGACCATGCATGATGAAGTTTTAATGCATACGTAAAGAGCCCTGCTTCTGCCTAATGAGCTAATCCGTTTAATGCTAACTTCACACCCACCAAAGAATCGCTTCCAGTCTCCCCTCAGACACGAGACGGCGGCAGGACTATAAATAGACCTTTAATAGATTAATGCAGTTTCTGTGATTTGTTGTTGAGGTCGGATCCAAAGCTTTCGGAACTAGTGACAAATGAAGGCGATTCTCAGATTATTTCCTGTTGTCTCATTTCCTTCCTCTATTTCTCTTATGTCTTTTTTTATCGCTTTTTTATGTAGCTTGACTTTTTCTTCTTTTTTTTGAGTTTCACACCTGTGCCACACGTTTCTCTGAACTTTTCTTGTCATCTCTATGGCTTTAATGATGTGACTCTCTATTTCGAACACTCAGACAGGGCCGGTGTGCCACTTTTGTGGCCTAGGGTTCCATGTTCAGGAAGTTCAGAAATAGCCGGTCACACAAAGTCATTTGAGCTGTGTTTTCCCCTCAAGACAAACTTCCAGCCCTGGAACCAATTAGAGCAGGAGGAGTCTCTCCACCAGTCCACCAGAGGCGCCTTCGGTGTGAAGACAGAGGTGCTGCTACTGTCGTTCCTCTGGAGAAGTCATCAACAGCACCTCTATTCTAAGGTGAGATGGAAAACTTTGGAGAGTGCTGGGTCTCACTTTTCTTTGACTGACTGGCGTGTGAAATAAATGTAAAGGGGTCTTACCATGAGGTTTCAGAGGTTTTTAGAGGTTTCAGAGGACATATACACATCACTATTAAAGGCACATCAGCAAAAAAGGGCTATAGTCGATGTGAGAGGATGGGAAATGATCATGATGTAACTGTCTGTAATATTGTTGAGTATTCGTTTATATGTTTGTTGATAATACATTTTAATTTATACAACTTGAAATGTATTAGTAGTGTATGTAAAAAAAATAGCTTTTACCTAGATTCCAAAACTTTTTTGTTCATGGTTAGTTATTGATACCTTATTCATTAACTAATGTTAACGAAGGAAACCAAAGAAGCTACCCAGAAAAAAAGAGTGATATGCATATGGCCAATTTAAAGAAGGATAGCCATATAAATAGCTAAAAAATTAAATATATACATTCCTTGGAGTGGAGTTAATGTTAGATGCTTTTATGCTCACCAAGGCTGCATTGTTTTGATAAAAATACAGAAACAAAACAGTAATATTGTAAAATATTATTGTGATAATAAATAGCTGTTTTCTATTTTAATTTATTTTAAAATGTAATTTATTCCTGTGATGGCAAAGCTGAATCTTCAGCATCATTACTCCAGTCTTCAGTCACATTACCCTTCAGAAATTATTCTAATATGCTGATTTGCTGCTCAAGAATGATTTTTGAACAGTTTTTCTGCTTAATATATTTTTGTGGAAACGGTGATACTTTCCCCCCAAGATTCTTAAATGAATAAAACGTTTTAGAAGAACAGAATTTTTTTTAATAAAAAATGTGTAACTTTAAATAATGCGCTTACACTTTTCATCAAGTTAATGCATCCCTGCTGAATACAAGTATTAATTTGTTTTTTAAAAGTCTTTCTGATCCCCAAATTTTGAACGGTAGTGTATAAAATAAGTTCAGGAGGAGATATGAGAGAGAGAGTTCTGATAGACATTCAAAAACACTGCAAAAGATAAATCTTTATTTCTCCCAGACTGTAACAGTAAAAAGTTAATTGTGGCCAGCAAAAGTTAATTTGCTGGCCACAACTCCCCCCCACCCCCCCCCAGGTGGACGGCCATATCACACTTCAACTGAGGTACCAACCACAATCACAGAACAAGGTGCTATAGGCATGTACTACAGATTTACCGTAAGGCAATTTATAACCATTATAACTTATTACTCCAAAACATAACATATCTCTCTTCCCTCCAAGAGGGGAAAACTATTAGTTTCACCATAAATAGATAAACGAAATCACAACAATTTCTCCTCTATACACAACACAACTCAGCACAACGCTGTGTGTTATTGCAGGTGAATACTCACAGCCTAACAGTGGCTACTTTTACCTATGTCTAGTTGGTTTCGACTCAGTGCACAAATTCAATAGGGATAAAAAAATGATGTCACTGTATTTCTACAATGAAGTGACCGTCAGGCATCTGATTATCAAGATCTACACTCCATGAAGCAATGCCACTTAGTCAAGTTTCAGGTAAAGTTATGGTTCTTATGGTCGATAAATGACATTTATCTTAATAGTTATTCATTATTATCTATTGCTTTATGTAGAAATTATTTCCCCAACCTAAAATTTCAGTAGTTATAAATGTTTCAGAGTTTTCTAAATTGTGATGTCACTTCCTTGAAACAGAATGAGGACATTCCGAATCATAGTCAGTTTTCAAATCTAAAGGTGTTGTCACATGAGCAAAATTTTGTCAAAAGTTTGCAGGCAAAAAAGCTTTTGTCTATTGTACTATAGCAATGTAAAGTCATTTTCAAATCAGACCAAGCATCTTTCAACTTAAACCAAGCAACTTAAACTCATTGCGAAATCTGCGAAATTTTCCTGAAATTCCCAATCTATTGAAATGACTGGATTTCGCCCTTGGAAATTCGCATAACAATAGTAAATGTGACCGTACCTTAAAATACTGTAAGAACATGTTGTGGTTGATCCTGTTGGGTCAAATTAAAACGGATATAAAAAATATTTTTTCGCTACTTCAAAAAAAAAAGCCAACCAATGACTTCAGAGCAGTGGTAACATGACATGTACTGTAGAGATTTACGGACCCATCAGTCTCTTCTCTGTCTTTTCGCAAAGTCCTATTCCCTGCATCTAAATCTTAACTTCCGAAATGACAAGGCAAGGTAGTGGGTGTCAAAGACAACATTCTCATTAAAGTCCTTCGACAGCTGTCGAAAAGTAGATCCAGCTGAAAAAGCCTGCTCTGATTGGGCAGAGAAAGTCATTTGCAGCCGTCAGTCTCAGCATCAACATAGAGAAAATGCCATCCAGCAGAGCTGCAGGAGGTCGCCGGCACAGTCCGTGTCGTAAATGTAGATGGGGCCAGGAAAAGAGTCTAAGAAAACTAAATCTCCATTTCCTGGCTGTTCCTCCTTTGTCATATCAAGTATATCCTTGGGATCAAAGCTGGATATCTAGAGAAACGGAGAGAGAGAGCAGATCAAGATTAAAATTTAATCTATCAGTTGACACCCATATTTTTGTGGCTCAGGCATCAGAATTTCTAATAAAGGAATTAAATACATGCAGTAATCTTGGTATTTTACAATACAAGCATGTATTCTCTGTCAGTGATGTACGATGATCTTTTAAGGGAAAACAGGATCTCCCAGTGGAACAGATGTGTTGATTAGGCCCTTGTGGATGTTATAATCAGACACCAGCTCTGTAGCCATGGGCAAGCCAGAGCACGATTGAGCTGTGCGCTCACAAACAATCTCAGATCGCATCGCAACCTGTTTACATGTTGATCTACTTCACTGTACGGAAAGACAACACCCTTGCACACACTTTGGATTGCTAATAAGGCCTAATACAAGTCACACTGAAACGACAGTCTTTATAAACAAAATGAATATAATTTTAGAAGCCTCAGCTCAACTCAAACTTACTTTTCTCCATCATAAATATGAGCTGATATGACACATTTGTGTGGGTTCACAATACAAGTGGGTACAAAACAAGTTAAGTTAAACACTTGTGGCATATTGTTGATTACCACAAAAATTTTCTTAAAAAATAAATCAGCTAAAATCTGGAAGTGAATGGGACCAATCCGTAAATGTTAAAATACTCATCATTTCAAAAGCATAGCCACAAGATGTAAACAATGTGCTCAAAAACATGATTTAGTGTTAAAAAAATCACTTGCTAATTCCAATCTTACAATTTTGCTGCCATGGCAACAACTGCCATGGTAAAACCCTAAAATGAACCTAAAAATGATGAGAACATCTTTACAGCTAAAATAATGTACAAGTTTGAACAAAATGAATGTAAGAGCTTTTATAAGTATAAGCTTCACATTTCTGCTTCCTTTTAATATATACAGTATATATACTACGCCACTTGTATTTAGTTTTATCGGACATCCCCAAACTACATTCCACCCTAAAATGGATATTCTGTCATTGTTTATTATTTTTATTGTACATTTATCCATCATTATATTGAAAAAATTGACCAGGACATTCTTCAAAAACTGCTTTTGTGTCCCAATGAAGGAAGAAAATAAATATGGGTTTGAGGTGTGTAAATAATAACAAATTTTTCCTTTTTGGGTGTATTATCCCTTTAAGTGTTGCTTAGTAAATGTCCATTTTGGCAGAGCTAGAACGGGCACTTGACTGCTGGTACGCTTGACTTGAGTTATTTAGAAATAGCATAAACATTTGGATCCCTCTGCCACTTGAATGAGACATGTGAGCCTCTTAAATGGAAATGTCAGATAAAGACAAAACATTTAATCAACCCGTTCCTACAAACTAATCCTGTTTGTAATGATGAATGCCTGACTCCGTTCAACTGCCTGATCCTTACGCTAGTCTGAACGTGGTCAGATTTTTAAGAATTTAGTCTTGGCAAAAGTTTCGGGAATGTCCAGAGCTTTGGCCTACTTTAGAGAAGGGTCTGTCTGCACAGAGGACCATGCTCATTTATAATGCATTACAGAACGCTTTTAAGCAATGTAGGTCAGGAGCGCAGACAGGTTTGTTGGTCTTGGAACACGCCTCTAAGGAACACATCGTTGTTCATGAAAAGAGTTGAAATGTCACACACAGGTCTTCCCTAACTCTACAGGCGTCCTGGAAAATACTCAGAATGGAGTACACCCTCTCCACCAAAAGAAAAAAAAACAGTGAGAACATATATCTATATTTATTATGTTCACTAAAATCATTTTATCCTTTACAAAATGGATGTAGGCTACATATTTATATACACATAATTAGAATTATTTATTGTAGTAGTATTATATATTATTATTTGCACAACACCAGCCAATGATCTCAATTGGCTGCCCATGAACACTTTGACCTGCTCTCAAACACTTTATTGTTGAGGTCTGGAAGAGTTTGTTTTGTGGTGTAGATGTGCCGTTTCTGCGCAGTGATAGCAAATCCACTTTCCATGCACTTCCAAAGAATGAAGACTCGGGATCGAATTGAAACGGTAAAACCCGGTGCCATCGTTTCTGTTCGTATAACTGCGTACAAAGGGCTGTTTTGTTTCCGACATGCGCTGTAAGCGGTAGACCAATCGCAACAGACTGAGACATCTCACCAATCAGAGCAGTGTTTCTCTCTAAAAGGAGTTTTTTTAGGGAGACCTGATCCTTTATCGAACCAATTCAGACACTGTGAGAAAAGAGGCGATGCTGCAATGTAAATTTTTAGAAAATTCATTTGTTTTTACACTAGATGCATGTAAACATATTATAGAAGACTTCCAAAACAAAGGAACCTTTAAAATAGTATAATAGGGGCACTTACATTTTTTTGTTAACTAAAATATTTTTTTTCTTTTACAAAAAGACAATTTGCAAAAAGCTGGAAATTATACACCTACAACGCAGCTCTATTAAGTCATAAGCACACTTTTGCTGGAAAACAGCGGCATATGCAAAGCATTACTGATTGGTTTGTTGGCTTGTGGTTGGAGCACAGTCTTACTGCTTATTACAAGACCATCACAAGTCATTTTAAAAATTTAGAAAAAACCTCATCTATGTTAGCCAGCTAAATAATATCAGCAGAAGTATAAGTTGCAAGGCAATACAAATTGAAATGAATGAAATTTTCATTAACTAAAAAGCAGAAACAGCTGGCTATATCTGTATATGTGAAAGAAAGAGAGTTCTTCTAAACCAAACACGAGGTCTTAATCCAAAACAAACCCTTCGAGTATGAGAGCTGAGACAATGGTGAGTCACTTCATGCTGAGATATTTACACAAGATGAGCACTGCCCTCTGCAATGTGTGCAATAGAAATACCAACTGCCCCCACTGGGATTGCCTCCACTCCACAACCCCTGAGAGATGATTGTTTTGGGAAATGAAGCAGAGGCGTTCTGATGGGAAGTGCTCAGAGATGTTGACATTTAGATGAAAATATCAGTTTTCTCCGACTGGAGTCCTTTTAGAGGAAAATAGCTAAATTAATATGTTTGAATTACAGAAGACTAAAGGCCAATTCACTCCGCACAGACAAACAAGCTGGCCGTTGGATTTAGAATTTTAGGAAAAATAACTGTCATGTTCACACTGCCCCAACAGACACCGACAACAAACGCTGATTGAACATGTTCAGTCGGGTGAAAAAAAAACCCCCGACCAATGCCAACAGATGCTGACAGGGGTAACACACTGATCCGACAAACTGTGCGGTGTGAATTGCCCCTAAGGCTCTCAGTATCAAAAGCAAATTGAGTGGTAATTTTAAAACAATGCTCACTGCTACACTCCATTACATAATGAAAATTGAGTGTCGGCTTTGCATAGTGTGTCAAATTCTCTGCTTTATACACTTTCAAATTGGTTTAAAAGCTTGTTATTAAAGTAGAAGTGCAGACTCTATCTCCTAACATAGCTTACCGCCTCATTATTCATATTAAATGCCTGTTGAAGACGTACCGGTAATGATGCTTTGGCCATTACAGCGATTGTGATTTTTGTCTGTAATTTCATTAAAACCTTTAGGGTATTCCCATTTTTCTTAATTTCTTTTCCAACCCAATACCATTGCCATCTGGAATCATGATGAGAAAACTCCAAAACAGACAAGAAATGCAATCACGAAAGCTACGGGAAATCACTATCTCCACTCACCACTAGTCGAGAAATTGCTTAATTATTATCAGATGGATTCCATGAATAATGCATTTTTATTCAGTGATATGCAATTTGTTTTGCTGCCAACAACAGTCCAGAGTCTGCAGGCTGCCGTGCTCCCGAATGTACGAGTTTGGACTGTAACAAAGCTCTAAAACATCACTCTAATCATCACTCAGATCAAGTGTCCCTTATCATCAGAAGCAAACTGACCTCTCAGAATCACATTCTGTGTTCACAAACTGTGACATTAATACCATGACTCAATAGCAAATCTCAGCTTTTACACTGTTATCTATACCCTCGAGTTAGCGAATGTATTATTATTTGCATTTTTGTCCATACAATGGAAGTCAATGCTGTCCAAAACTACACTGGATATTTGTTGACTTTAGTTGCATGGTCAAAAAAACACTGATGCATTGCACTGATACATCTTTCAAAATATCTTCTTTTGTGCTAAAAAAAGGTAATACAATTTTTAAAACCGTAATAATTAATATGATTTTTTTGTAGTTATGTCAAACTCTAAAATATTTTATTGGGTAGAAGAAATTACTGTGAAATTTGCAATTATTTAAACCAATAGATAACTAAATGACTAGAAAAGTAACTATAGTATTACTATAGTAACTAATGTAAACATGTAACAAAAGGACACTGTAAAATAAATTGTTACCAAACATTCACTTCATTTTAATGTAATTATGTTAATGGTATATTGCCACCCCATAGTTTCTATAAATAAAAAATAAGAAGCTTTGCCATTGGAGTAAGTACCAGAAATATCTTGAGGAATATATTATTGGACAATGGGGCTTTGGAGTCAAAAAGTTTGAGAACCACTGCTTTAACAAATGGGTTAATTTTCTGCGTTTACTTCTCCCAAATAAATTAAATATTACACAAATTGGGGTTTGGGGATAAATCTTCAATCTGCCTGTTACTTCAAAGTAATGACATTTGGACCTTTCTGAAAATAATCATTCAATTTTTTTTTGACTTGTTGGAAGAGAATCTTGACACAGCAGTCTGAAGGAGGGTAGAGGGAGGCTTTAACTTCTAAATTATCTCCTGCCAACAGCATGCAGGTGCAGGACTTTAATTAGCAGCACCTGTGCAACACACACACACAGATCGACCAGGCGGAAGGAGGCAGAGAAAATCACATTAATAAATTAGATTTTGTGCGCTGCTGAGATGGCCATCCAGTATTAAAGTGATCATTGTCTATCATTTGTTGCAAAAGTTCATGGTGTTGATTAAAGCACACTTTAGCATAGTGATTGTGAACACAGACATGAGAGAAACTGCATTTCAAATGGTTTGATGTCAATTACATCTCAAGTGTGCCATGTATTCAATTAACCTTATCCTTCAAAATTCTTTTGGAGTCGAACAGCCAGACGAACTTATTGCGCTCACGCATCTTATCTCTGAGCTGCAAGAGCTCTATTTCTCCAGCTTCTTTAAAGTGCGAGACGCATCATCATCATATTACACGCTAGATTCCACTCGCCTGCCTCCAGACGTTCCACTCTCTGATGACAGGACAGGTGTGGAAGGGGAGGGGCGAGAATGAGAGAATGGAAAGCTCATTGGCTCGTTTCGGAGTTTAGTTTGCATTTCAGAATTCTAGCTTCAAAAATATCTCTAAATCTGTGCGTACAACTGTATTTTTTTACGGCTTTTGCATTTGTTGCCTGTCAGAGTGTAAGATGTGATCTGAGTGGATAAAAGCTACGGCAGACATCAATGATATGTTATATTATGATATATACACTAATGTTCAAAGTATGGGGTCAGTAAGACTTTAAAAAAGAATAGATCAAAGGTTGACTGTAAACCAAGCCTTTGCACCTTTGCCCACACAATATTACAAAAATCAAATACTGTGAAATGCTCACCAACATCAAATTAATTGCCCATGTTTGAACTTTTGGAGGCGTCACGGACCGGTGTCTTGTCGCTATATGAAATGCAACAACACACATATCTCATATTAGCGTTCCTGCCACATTATGATTCTACTATTAAAATCACTTCAGACTCCAGACTCTTCATTTCAGTTTGGCATGTCAAGAAGAATGTTGGAGCATGGCATGAAAATGTCCAGCGTCGTCAATCGTGACCTAAGTCTAAGCTAACATCCACTACCATTCAAAAATGTAAGGTCGATTTTTTTCATGTTTTTGATAGAAGTCTGCATTTAATTGATCAAAAATCTGTAAAATTACAAACATTTCTGAAACATTTCTTATTATCAATGTGGAAAATAGTTGTGCTGCTTAATATTTTTGTGGAAACTGATACATTTTTAATGAATTCATTTTCTTGCAACATAAATGTCTTTGGGTTTGAATTGGATGCCAAGGGTCGCCGTGTCAAGGTCGTGTCAGGCAACAGTGAGCAACAGATGCAACAGATGGCATAGCGAATGCTACCTCATACTGAGCCAGATTAGCCATGAGGGACCCATGTGGCCAGCACCTGCTGTTAGAAGATGTTTTCCCTTCAATCCCATCTGAAACAATTTCTGTGGTGTCTGAGTAGTTCCTTTGCTTGAGCCAAGAATTTGCAGACTTTTAAAAGGTCAGCTTTCCACCCTTCTTTAATGTATGATTAGCTGGTAAATTCTGTGTCTAAAGTGTTTCCTGGTATATATCAGATATGAGTTTCCAGGCCCTGATATACTCATGGCGAAGTTCATGTTTTTACTGGCGGACAACCAACCTCAAGGTACTGAGCAGAAGAAATAAACCTAAAAACATTTCCACGTTAAAGAGGGCGGAGCCTCAGAGCCACACCAACTTATTACGTAATTGCCACGGACCACTGGTTGTTTGAAGGGATTTATCAGCTAGAGCGAATTTTTACAGAAAGTTTGCTTTGGCAAGCTGTTTTGAACTCCCGAAACAAACACAAAACGAAGGTTGTTTTGGCCTGATTTGTTCGAAATGACGTCACACCAGTTCGTTGTTCAATTTCATACTTGAAAATCACCAATGCTCATTGGGAACAATTAACTTCTGCCAGATGTTGAGGCGACTGCCACATTATTTGAAGTATAGAGATCATATGATCATATAACTTACAACAAATATTTTGTCTTACAGTCTGCAAGATGGATAATACAGAAATGACATCAGGACCCTGGAATGAGGTACAACAATTGTTTTTACTTCCTGTAGCACACCTTTAGTCAGACTTAAGCTGCGTCCCAATTTGCAAACTATCCGTCCTAAATAGTATTCGAAAATAGAATTAGTACGTCCCAAATCGTAGTATGTTGAAATGAGTGTCCCAAAGAGACCCGGATGGTCTACTATATCCGGTCAGAATCCGAAGTGCAGATCGTTGCACACTCTAACGGCTGATATTGCCATAGGATATTGCCCACAACCCATCGCGCGTTGGACGAGGATTCGGTTGGAACTTCAAACACGAGTGAAAAGTGTTCAAAAACTGCAGACATGGAGGACGCGCGAGTCCGACGGTTATGTAGAGAGGTTTAGATAAAGGGGTTTGAGTGATTAATTATCAGTATCTAACCTGACGAAAATGTATTTATTCAATGTTGTCCACATTATATTGTATCTGCAGCATTGTGAACTTTTGCAAAGATACATTTAGCCATTAACTTTTAAATGCATTATTATATTCAAATTCCAAACACATGAGGAGAGTCTCGGCATGAAAGACCCATGACTGGCAGATGAACGTGCGACAACAATTCTCTCCGAAATGGTAAGAAGTTATATTAGATTGAATGGAGGATTTTAACTGTGACTAGATGATTGACAGGGCAGTTTACGGTGATAGGATGCACGCGACAGATCTGTCCATTAAAGATGACAAAGTAGTATGTCCCAAAGCTTGCCTACTCTTTTGCTACACACTCAAAAGTATGTACTTTTTCTTCACAAAAAGAGTACATACTTTTTGGGCGTAGTATAAGTAGGCGAATTGGGACGCAGCATTACTGTCCATTCACGCTGATGTGCCTATAAGACCTGTATGATCCATTTTTTTGTAATCCACCAGTATTAATTGAGAATAAAAGTTCGATAAAGTTTTGGTGGCACTTTACATTTTTTACAGCATTTATTAATCTAGGTTAATGCTAATTTCCAAAGTTTTGTTCAATGTTAATTCAAGTTTGTTCTTTATACATATAATTAATGCAATTTAAATTTTTACAAATCACATTCAAAATGTAGAAATTAACATTTGTTAGATGTGTATTTCTCTTATTTCATTGTTTATTAATTTCACATGTGTTTATGTATTTTAATGTATATTTTTATAACATGGTGGAGTGTTTTGGACAGTTGTGTTGTTTTAAGAGTAATAGAAGATCAATATTGCATTACATTTTAAAAAGTATTTTACGTCATATTTTGTTCATGAATCCTAAAAACTAATGTTAACGGATATAACCTTATACTTAGGTGTTACCAAAGTTTTTGCATTGCATTCAAGCCTCTGCTGAAAGAGCCCAGACAGGCTGAAAGCCATCTTCTTATATCTTAGCTGATATACTAGTATAATGTTTAATACACTTTTCTGCTAGTTACATTTATGTTTTATCCAATGTTCATTCAAGTAAAAAAAAAACATTGTGTCCGAGTACGACACAATCCATCAAGATCAGAAATCAATTAGGGTACTCTCTGGACATAACTTAAGGGTCCTGTGTGTTTATTTATCTGGGAGCTCTCCTTTATCCCTGTTCGTTGACTCACCAGGCTGTTGAGGTCTGGAAGGTCAGGAGCGTAGGGCTCTGTGCTTCGCTTCTCAAACTGTGCCGTGGATGGTGGTGGTGACTCAGGCCTGATCCCATGTTGTGTTCACCCTCCTGAGCTGTGCTGTGCCATTGACTCCTGGCCTGTTTGAGCCACCGTCCTCCCAGGCCCCATTTCTCCAGGTAGACCCTGCACAACTCGTAGTTCATAGCCGAGTAGTACAGGAAGTCCAAAGCCAGAAGGATCATGACGAAAAAGCCGTAAATCCACACACCGATGAGGGCGGTGTAGTTACTAAAGCGACAGGAACGACAAAGAGATGGAAGTTATACTTGTGCTCTGCAAAAAGGTTTATTCTGAATGAGAAACAGGAATAGTCATATCATTACAAGGGAGAATGGGCCTGATTTTTTTCCCCCTCATTTAAATCAACTAATACAATGAAAAGAGAGGTCAGTGCCAATGCAGTGGCAGTAAAGTGCTGTAATTGCTTTCCACTGGTCTTTGTGATTGCTTTGGCAGGATAGTGTGCGGGTCAGGCAGATGTTTTACAGCTACCCAGTGCTCTGGGATTCTACAGTCCCACAGAGGGATCGATTTGATCTTGAGTGGTGAAATAATATTTTCATGCTTGACTAGAGTCAGGGCATGGTGGCAAGCTGGCCTTTATGTCACTGCTTCATTGTTTATGTCCCATTGTGGGGCTGAAAATTAATTGATTTGTTTTGGATTAGTACTGCAATGTTTCTTTGACGGAGATCTCAGATGCATGACTGAAACAACAAGGCCTTAGTTTTTCATACACACACGAGTGTATGACATATTGTCTCTTTTGCCATGGCTAAATGTCAGAGGGATTCTTTCATCATCATAGCAGACAGTTTGATCTGGATGCTTGGTTCACTTGGGAATAATGAATAATAAATCGCACTCACAGCAGATGCCAACAGAGATGTTTCAGAAAACGCTGATGCAGGCTGTGACAATACAATCGTACAATCACTTTTGTTTTTCTCAAGATATTGCATTTATAACATTTCATATACAGTCATGGATGTATGCAAATATTCAAGATTATAGGGGCCCAATTTAATACTCTGTCATTTAATCAATATCATTTAATTCAGGGATTTTGAAAGAGGCTGCTAAACCAATTATTTTACATATTTCTTTTTCAGAAATCAAGATGATTAAATTACTAAATTAAATGTTTAGCTATGAATTAATTAAAGATAAATCTGCATATTGTTTTGTGAAAATATTTTTATTTCTAATTTATCTCTCTTTTAACATTCATAAAAGACATTCATATGTTATGCTTAATAGAATGTAAATATTTTCCAGAAAATACTTTTTAATACTTTTCCCCCCTTTTTTCTTTTAAGCCAAATACAATATAAAATTCAGTTATTGTTATTAAATTCAGTTTATAATATCACACATTTTTCCCACACTGTATAAATGCATATTTATACATAGTATATATATATATATATATATATATATATATATATATATATATATATATATATATATATATATATAATATATATATATATCTGCCTGTATATTTTAGGAAGGGGATCCTTCGCAATTGGGCCATCATATTTGGGGGTCCTTGATGTAAATGTTTTGAATATTGACTTAAATAAACCTGCATTTAACCTGTTCTGTCAGAAATTTCTATCTTCTGTCTTTTGTGTGCATGTGGTTTAGTATCTGCTGTATTATGCTTTTTGAACCGTGTTTGCATATGTGTGAAGATGGGAGACAAAACCAGGCTTTCCGCAAATACGCAAGTCCATCTGATTGTCACATTTTTCACACCTCCCTCAGTCAGCTGGAGGGATAAACAAGCCATGATAATATTCAGAAGAACTGCATCACTCTACTGATCTCTGGTCTTGCTGGCTGCTTTAGAGACCGAGAGTCATTTTTCAGACTTCGTTACTTTAACAGCCAGTGGGGAAAATCTGAATGGCACTGCTAGCCTTCTGTGGTCATTACAGAACAGAAGAGTGCTTTAACTGCACAGCATATGATTCAGAACCTTATCAGAGGAAGTTTCGATCTGGTGCAGACTGGCTGTGTAAGGTTAAGATGGACGGACAAGCTACGAATGAATATTATATATTTTATATATTTTTAATGGTATTATGCTGTCATATTTTTGTCAACAGTATACATTTGAATTTTTTTTTTTTTTTGTCTTTTTTTTTGTCACGTCTTCGTTATAACCAAAACAATTTAATTCAATAATTTTGTTGAAGAAATGAACACTGTTTGTTAAGTCTCTAGAAAAATTTAGATGGGGGTGCATCATTTGAACAAATCGTGTGGGTTTGGGTTATTGGTTCAGATCCCAAAAAAAGCAAAGTGCATGCTTGCAAAATACTTTTATTCTGACCATACTTACTTGTGGGCATAGCCGTCTGAGTTGGTGGTGAGGTTGAGCTGCATCACGCTCTGAAACTCGGTTTCGTTGCAGCAGTATTTGAAGGCCGTGTTGTTATGGTGACAGCAGAAAATGTAGGTCTTGTTGTCCGAGAGTCGAGGGCAGTGGAAACCGAAGTGATAGCGCCCCTTGTGGTCGGAGTAAGGCTCACACACTCTGAAGTGCGCCGAGAGAGCTGCAGAAATAAAACAGAGGAGGATGAGAGAATACGGTCGATAAAGCTGAGTGATTTCAAACAGCTCGTGATCTGATTCAATGTGGGATGAATGACTTCTGATATGCGCTCGATAGAGATTATGAGGGTGGAACAGAGGGAGAGATTTACGGAGCAGATCTTTCATGTCTCCGTTAATTAGAGCTTTGGCTACTATAAATGCTGTCAGATTCATTAAATACGTCCTTTTTGACTTTCTGTCATGTGGTACACTTCAACTCCAGAACCATAAGCACTGTAAAAGTGAGAGTTCTTCATATCACAAGTGACATAACAAACATGTTCGTCTTGCACCAAAACAGACAGCTTCTCAACTCGTGAAACTAACTCTCCATCGAACAATCCTGCCTCCAGTAATTGATCAGATAATGAAGTTCGCAGAGTCTCAGAGGCATTGTAATGACAAGGCAAATGAACAAGCAAGTATCTTGGCCATTCCTACTTTTTTTCCTATGCAAAATTCTGTGCTCGTCAGCAATGCCCATAGACTCACTCCCATAGTGCACCTTTTTATTTCTAAAGCTGCATATTGAGCTTTATGAAAAATAAGAAAGCACCGTGCCATCATTTGCATATAGATGAGAGCTGTCTGAGAAGGCACTTTGGTAAGTGGAATGGACAAGAACACTGGATCTGTGAATTTGATGGACCTCACTGTCCATTTTTACAGTGGATTAATATTTGTGACTGAGGCGTTGTTGCTCTGAACTGTACACCAGAGTGTCAGTACTGTGTGATCTTAAACTTTCTCTTTGGAAACCACCAGTTAAGTTTTCCGGTTATATCAAGGCGATGATTCCCATTCACATTAGAACAATGAATGAGCAGGCCTGGAAAAGACTCGCAAGAACTGGATTGGAAACAAGAACCTTTAACGTTTATTGCCGCGGAATCGAAGTTGAATAAGAGAGGCAAAAAATATTATGACACAGGAAACAAGTTAATGTTTGCCGCATTTGACCTCTCGCTAATGACCAAAACCGCCAATTACGTGAGAGCGAAGACACACAGAGAGGCTCGTAATGATCGGAATAAATCAGTGCTGACAGCAGTGTGGGGCAGAGAACCCTCCAGTGCCACCTTTGACCCCATAAAGGGCCCAGTATTGCATGGGAAATTATTTGGCAGTGCTTACGCTATGTATCCATCAACCAAATAGGCAAAAACACAGGCAACAAGGCAGGTCTTTCATATTTGGAAAAGGAAAGAAAAAAAGAACAAAAGAAAAAGCTGGGGTGTGAAATGAAAACCACCTGTTGGAGATTTTTTCATTCTCCTTTTCATTGTGGCAACAGGAGTATTTAAGTGTTTTTATTTTGGTACGCCAGTTTTCTGTGCTGGCAGGCAACACCTCAGTTCATGCTCCTATAACCAGAAATAAAGTGAGAATGAAATGTGAATGTATCTGCAATGTGTCCAGGGGGACAGACACTGTCTGACAGGTCTAAAACCATAACATTAAACCTTTAAAATCATGTATGGCTGTCTCTTTGAGAGCCTAATTTAACAACAGAAACCATTTTTGGTGTGTATGGAGTTTGTAAGATAAGTACTTTTATTCAGCATAGATGCATTCAATTAAGTATTCAATGACAATAAAGACATTCTATTTCAAATAAATGCTGATCTTTTGAACCCTTTAGTTTAGGAAAGAACTCTGAAAAAATGTATTACAGTTTCAGCAAAACTGTTTTCAACATTGATAATAATAAGAAATGTTGCAGCAAATCAGCACATCAGAATGATTTCTGCAGGATCATGTGACATGAGACTGGAGTAATGATGCTTTGCCAGCACAATAATAAAGTACATTTTAAAATCTATTAAAACAGAAAAGGTTTTTTCTTTTTTTAAATTGCAATAATATTTCACTATATTACTGTTTTTACTGTATTTTTTTATTAAGGCAATTGTGACTTTATATCTCACAATGTGGCTTTATATCTCAGTGTTTTTATTTTATTTTTTACTTTATTGCACAATTTATTACATTTTCAATTTTGTATTTTGAAGTGGAACCAGACTTTTATCGCTTCATATTTTGGTGCTAGTCTTGTTAGTAAAATAAATATTTGGAAATAAGTTCTGTAATTCTTTTTGCATTTATTGCCCTCCGCAATCTGACAAGCGTTTTCAGTCCTCAACAAAACAGAAACAGCAAATCATAAATAAATCTAATGCAATCCTCTTGCATGCAAAGATAAACATTATGGTTTACTTTTTCGCATTTTTATTTGTTTTAATGCGGCACATAGGTGACATTAATCCAATCCATTAATTGGTCCTGAATACATATATTAAATAAAAACACTAAACCACAAAGTATTGTTCATTTGCTTATTCGTTCATTCATTAATTGTCACTTGTATAAATAACTACTTCATGCAAAACTCATAATGTGTGTCAGTAAATAAACATGGTCATATAAACAACTAAAAGCGACACTCATTTAATGAATGACTTGTTCAGTGAGTAGCCAATCACATTGATTCATAAGTGTTTTTGATTCACTAAAAAGGACCAGACTACTGGGTCCACTATATGTTTTACGAAATTTCAGATTCCGTAGCAGTGCTGCGGTTTTAGTACCGCACTTTAGTGTTTCATCCGCATTGATGAAAGAATGCACATTCAAGAACTGTAAACATAACTAAAAGTCATAAATCACTCCGTTCTGGTATTTTTTAAACCATGGAATCGGTTCCCAGTTCTACTTAACACTGGGCTTGGCAACGGCCTCAGACTTTTGCTATTTCAGAGTTCAGCTGAGAGAGACGTGTCTGAATGCTAATGCCTCATACAAATGGCGCTTAAGACATTTAGTCAGAGAAAACAAAAGATGAATAGTGAAATCGTTCATGCTTATCGAAGTGAGCTCAGTCAAGAGAGTCCGGTAAATATTTTAAGGATACTGACGCGACCATTAATGGATAGGTTTAGGACTATTAACCTCAGGGAACGGCAGGTTTTGGATGTGGTATAATGCCTCATAAGCCAAACACGAGCTGTGTGGACTCATAAAGTTGAAAGTTCACCCTTTTGTGGGAGTTTTGGCAGATGAAGGAAGTCAGCATGTGTTTTCTGGCAGAGAGAGCAGATCTACCTGGTTGTGTTTTATAATGATGGTGGACTGTAGCTCTCGCTCATTATAACTAGTTACACGACTGCGAAAAACATTCCATGAAAGAAATATTAAATATTCACAGATGTTTGAAAAAGAGCCTTGTCCTCAAGTTACTTCTGGGTAGTTGTGTCTGTTGATGTTAGAATTAACATGTCTGCACTCACTGGAGAATAACAGCAAAATGTTTTATGAATGACACTGTGCACCATTACTCCATGATGTTCAGCCATTAGGACTGAAAAAACCCCCCTCTATTTCTCTACTTCTTTCCATGCTCACTTTGAGGACAGGTTTCGGTTCATTTGAGATATTTATCTCTTCTTGTCGGTTGAGATATGGCTCAGGAGTTACATAAACAATATCAAAAGTCTGAGTGTGATACTTCTGGCTCTGCTTGTCTGTTGAAATACCCTGGGGGGAATTCACTAAAAAGTTGTGCCAATTCAGTGTACACTCAACTCAATCCAGATTTTAAAATGTCCTGTTAACAAAGCTGAATTCAGCATCATTACTCCAGTCTTCAGTTTCACATGATCCTTCAGAAATCATTCTAATATGCTGGTTTGCTGCTCAAGAATCATTTCACATGATTATCAATGTTGAAAACAGTTGTGCTGCTTAATATTTTTGTGGAAAGCATAATACATTTATTTTCAGGATTCTTGAAATGTCAAAAGAACAACATTTATTTGAAATAGAATTGTAACTTTACATGTCTTTACTGTCAAAAGAAAAAAAATCTTACTGACTCCAAACCTTTGAGCGGCAGTGTGAATATCGTAGTGGAGCAATACAAGATGGGAATTGCTCTGTAAAAATTGCATTCAGCAGATTTTTTGGGCCATGTTTGGCCTGTTACCCGATTAGCATAGTGAATCGGTTGCTAAAACAACACAAACAGCATTTACAAATAAATTACTAGCACAATTCATTCTTCATGAATCCCGCTGAGTGAGATAAGTGTGGCTCCTCTTGTCTTGAAATATTACATGAGTGAACAGGACCAAAAAATTGAAAAGGTATTTGTATAAATATTCCCCAAATAGTTCTCTAAATATCTCTCTCATTCAGTTCCTCTCTCGTTCTTACATCCTGTTACAACAACATAGTCTTCTGAGCTCAATCCAAACACGCATCTGTCATCGCCCTGGCCTTTAGTATAGTGGCAAAATCAGGCTTGAGGCTTTTGTGCTGGCTGTTTGTCTTATGGGAAATGTGGTTGTAGGTATCGAATTCATGTGAGGACCATTTGATGAAATATTCGGTGGTCTATTGAGTCTAAAGAGTTCCATGTACAAAATGGAAAAATACATATTTCCTACATTGCTATATAAAAAAATACATACACAAATATAGTGTGCAATATAGTGGCAATGCATCATTTTATGTTTATTAAGTTCTAAGTAAATATTTGTTCCATGATAATTGCAGACCACAAATTGCAATTGCTTTTGTGGAATAAATGGATCAGAATAATAATAATCTGCATATGTGTGCATGTATCATATTTGATAAATATTGTAAAATATTATAAAAAATGTATTGGTCACAATACAGTATATAGTGATGTTATATATATTTAGGCAAATGCTTATTGGAACTGCTACAAAAATGGTAAACTTGCTTGTTAGTACATTGCATTTTATTTTGCGCATGGTAGATGGCCCATGAATTGCTTTCAATGACATCATAGCCATTATTTTCCCCTCCACATGTTTTTGATGATTGTTGAACAAATCACTGCACACTTTGCCTGGCAGAAAGAGCAATATAAGCCAATGTTCAATCTTGAATGACTCATGTTGAGTAATCAGTCCAAATGCAGTCATTAGTTACTGTGAGTAAAAGTTGAATCAGTTTTTGCCAAGTCAGATCCTTATAATTGTGACTCCGTCTGCATCAAGTCCAAGTCATGATTTCTGAGGGCATGTGTCTGACTGAGTTTTTGTTCATTCTAATGTAAAACTCAACGCTGCATGGGAATTACACTCGTTTTGGGGGAGGAGAGAGAGTGAGCAAGAGGAGGATTTGAAGAAAGACCATTGAAAGAGAGATGGCTGAGATGGGCGTAGATTACGCGGGGGACGGGGGGGACGTGTCCCCCCCCACTTTTTATAAAATGTAAATTCGTCCCCCGCACTTTTTCATAGGGCAAGTGTGTATACAACAAGCTGAGGTTTTCGCGGGTGTGTGTAGCCAACATCGAGATTTAAAATCCAAAGAGTCAAGGATAGTCTATCTACATAGGCCTACGTGACTTTCAGGTTTCCATGGTAATCATTCACTCGTGCATTAGCCTACGACACGCTCATGCTCGCACCCGCGCCGAATCCATCAGTATCAGTTCAAAACGGCAAAAACTCTTCACTCGTTTTTCACGAAAAAGTCAAGCACTGTAAGTAAGTTGTCATGTGGTATCCGAATTGTGTTGCACAATGATGAATAACTCTGCCTATTTCTCTTGTTGAATTAAGAAGTTTTGTTGTAAATTGAAAATATTCACTACCCGCAAAAACGTGCACTATTTTCAATCTTTTTTTATTCGTAATGTCTTTTATTTTCACAGATATGTTATCAAAGCCCTTCAAATTAGAATAAACATGGTGATTGTTAATGCTGAATTTGTATTTTCATGCAATAACAGCCACGATCTGCTTGAATCAGGCAGCGTTGTAACATTTACATGATGTTTACCATAATTCGGTAACACTTTACAATTAGATAAAAAAGTTATAGACAAACTTTAAGTTCTCTTGAAAAAGCCTAACTAGAAAGTTTTAAGTAGTTTTAAAAGCTTGAAGTTTGAAGGTTTTCAATTGGAAAGTTTAGTAAGACAGACATTGTTTAGGCTTTTAAGGAAATTTAATTTTGCCAAAAGAAGAACTTTTATTCTAAGTAACCTAAATGTTATTTTTAAATCAGTCTACTTCAGTGTGATATTTAACCATATTATCATGTTTAACATTGATAATTTTAATAATTGTAATGTGATGATCAAATATAAATCAGAGAATATCATATGTTTGGGCGGTTGACGGGTGGATTATTTATCTTTAACAGTGGATTCGGGGGACTCAAAGTGCACCAGATTAATGAATTTATCTTTAAAATTTACAAAATTTTCTAATTTAAATACATGGTCGGGATTTTACCACCTCCGCCTCGTTTTCAACCAAAAACCCTGCATGTGCAATAGTACTGAACATCTGCATTTCTTTCTTTCTGTTTTATTGCTTTAAAAATAAATTGCATATTAAACCAATTAAGCAAAAACCTGTCAACAAAAGTCTGAAGAAAAAACCTTGACATTCTGTCCCCCTCACTTTTAAAATGATGGCTACGCCCCTCTGAGAGACATTTCAAAATAGAAAATGTCTGAGGAATATCACTGGAAAAAGAGGGGTTGTGACTTTAAGTGCTGGGAGACCTAAGCAGGAAGGCCTGATAACGGACGCAGAGGTTCTGTTGTTTCTGCTCAATACGTGACTAACATTGGTTTTGCTGTTTCAGAACCTGTTGTTGTAATGTTAGCTATAGTGTGAGGGAAACACTTCAAAAAAGCCTGCACACTCTAACAATGAAGGGGAACCACCAATTGCAAGATAAAACCACTGCTTTAATAAAAAAAAATGGCAAACGTTTCTGTTACATTTGACCTTTCTCAATATTTTATTTCCCTGATTGGAGTTTTTGGTCTATGCTTCTCATTTGGACAATTTTTCAGATGCGGTGAGTTCCTGGCTTTTCTTCAGCTATTTCAACTGGACAGTTTTGAGTGTCATTTTTTTGCTTTGCTTCAGCTAAAGAGACATTCAATCTTGCATTGCGTGTTTGAGCATTTTGTGGGAGGAGCAATGAAGGGAAGGGTGTGTTTGTTTGGGTTGATTTTAGATATCAATAGTGTTTCTCAGAAATCACTCACTTTAAATATATCTATATGAATGTAGATATATTTATATTTATATTTAAATAAATCTATATGATGTGGTCTTACCTGCAGTGGACAGCAGGATGAAGATGACGGTCAGGGTTTTGAAGGACCAGCGGCCGTTCATGGTCATCTCTCAGCCCTCATGAAGAAACAGTGTGAGGAGAGAGAGCAAGTCAACACACCCTCATTGCTCACCGCCTGGTGGTCATTTTACTCTGCAAGCTCTGAAACACACAAATATAGGCTACAGGTAAACTTTACATTCTCGAAACAAGACAGTAAAATTTCAATCATCATTTATTCACCCTCATGTTGTTCCAACATAAAATGTAATGGAGTGAAGGACTCATGCATTATTTTAACAAAGCCATCTGTTGAGCTTGATATTTAAGTTATTGACTTAAGTTACACATAAGATGCAGCTACAGCTGGTGTTACAAAAATCCTTTCATTATTGCTGTCAAAAGGGAAATGAGATATGACATGAGATATGCGAATATTGATGAGGGGAATCTTGGCACGAAAAATACCAAACAGTATGCACCCATAACAAATAGATACATCATGTTGCAAAGGATTAAATGCGATAATTCTTTATTAATGATTCCATCCATGCTTCTTTGATGAAAAGCATATTTTATAACAGAGCAATATGAATAAAGCCTTCCAGTCCCCACACAACTTATCAAATCAAAACTCACTGTCTAAAGCCTTTTCAAAGCCTCTATCCTCACAGATCCTGGTGCGACTGTCACGAGACGCATAAGAAAAAAAAAAGATGCACCAAAGAGGGTATGTTTGGAATGGAATACTAACATATTTGCTACTGCATGCTACACAGTATAATTGCATAATACCATAATAATTTATTATATGTGGGGAGTGATATGTGTTAAGAGCCATTGTCTATAGGGGTTTTTGCATCGCGTGGGCATGAGTTCAAATCCGGCTTGTGTATTTTAGTTATAAATAAATAAAATAAAATAATTTTAGTTATCATTTACAGTTAATTTGTTTTTGCCTGCCTGTATTGTAGTGAAATGGAAGGTCAAGTCGAGCACATTATATTCTGGATCGCTATATTTGATCAGGTTGCAAGTGGCACATTTTGTCAAATGTTGTATGTCATCTGGGTTTCCCATGCATACAGAAAGTTCTCGTACTATGCACAGTGTGTGTAGTGCATGATGCAAAAATAGTGAAAGCACTATGCTATTCTGAACATACCTTGAGAGTCTAAGCACAGGATGGTGAAAGGGGCTGGCAGGAGGATCGCATGGAATAAAAGCATGTGACACACCTAAGACAGAGATCTTCAGGCAGGATGAGGGGAAATGTGGCACTTAAGGACAACCAGCTATCGGATAAATGGAACTGCATTGCATAATACATGTGTTGAACTAAAGGGGTTTATGGGAATATGTGCTTGGTGTGTGAATGTGTCTCTCTCTATAGATTTATATTTATATCATCTATCTTTCTTATCTTTCTCTCTGTTTAAACAGCAGTCAGCATGTCTGTGTTTGGTTAACAGCTACACTAACAGCATGGTTGCTCTGAGCTGGCCGTCTGTCATAACACGTCACCATGCCAATCCGCCTCTGTCACCCGTACAGGCCTCTGAATGGCTTGTTGGCAGTCACAAACACTCCCCCTTGCCAACATGGAGGAAACAAACCACACACACACACCAGAAGTCAATACCGTGCATCAATACCCAGTCATATTCGCACAAGCCCATGGCACAGATAAATTCTCCTTAAAATATTTACTTCCTGACATACTGTATCTATCGTTTAGTCTCTATAGTATTTTACATAATATTTGATTTTCAGCAGATTAGCCCCCCCCCCCCCCCCCAGCATAAGGTGCGTTTGAATCTAGTGCAGAAATGTTCAATGATCAATAATCAACACTGTGTATTATTATATACTGCCTCATGTTTTTACAGGAATGTGCAGTTACTGAATTATATTGCTCCAAAAAATAGCCTTGAGTATCAACAATCAGATTTTTCTGCATTTCAAATGAGGTAATGACTGTTTACTCAGGCATTAAGCCATAAGTCAGAGCTGATATCTTCATATCTTAATCAAATAAAGAAAGCAGCTCTGTTTGTGTTTATTGTTCCTTTAATACTCCAGCGAGGTCTGATGAGATAACGAACATATGCTGTGTGGTGAAACCAACATTGTACTTTTATATGCTAAAACCAGAAAGCAAAAAAACATAAGGCAAACAACAATTCTCACTGTCCTACGCATATGCAACAGCTTTAGTGTTACCTTGGAAACTCAGGGACATTCAGAAAGTATGTAAACATTAAAGGTACAGGTCACCCAAAAATATATATTTTAATTTTTTTACGCAGCCTCGTGTTGTTCCAAACCTGTGTGAATTTCATTGTTCTGTGGAACATGAAAAATATATTTTTTGAAGACTGTTTTGTTCCACAATGAAAGTCAATGGGGTCTAAAATAACATTGCATGGACATTTTATATAGACAAAAAACATACAAACAAATAAACAAAACACTGAGACCAACTTAATTTTTATTCTGCTTTGTAAAACAAGATAATTCATATGAAATATATATATAATATGCTGTAGCCTATATAATTTTTTGTATATTATTCATTTATTTTAATGTATATAAAGTATATTATACATTTGTTTATTTTAAGATATGAGTTTAATAATTATAAATTGAATATGTATTCAAACAATTATTCATTTCTTAACTATAATATTAATCTGTTGTTTAATTCAATTGTCAATTATTAATTTAAATGCAATAATTTATCATTCATTTGATTAATTTAATGCTTGATTAATCACTTATAATTATTAATATTTTTAGCTAAAGAATGTATATGACTTTCACATACATTGAAAGTCAGTGGGGTCCAAAACAAAACATTGTATGGACATTTTGTATGCACAAAACAAAGAGACAGACAGACAAACAAACAAAGAGACAGACAGACAAACAAACAAAGAGACAAACAAACAGACAGACAGACACAGACAGACACAACAACTCTTGTTAATTCTACAGATGAAGATCTGGATCCTCCTCACAAAGCTAGATACAGTGTTTTCCTTAGATGGATCAATCCCTCTGAAACAGAAGTGTGGTACATATGGCTCTGAATTCTCTGACATTTGTGTCCAAATCCACTAGCAGTGTCTCTCCTGGCATTACATCACATATCGCTTCACAGAAGCAGAGAAGAGTGTGAAGGACTTTCTTTTCCCAGGGATTTACGACAGTGTGTTTATCGATCCCCTCCAGACCGTTGTGCATGTGTGAGACTGTAGGAGAGAATGGGAGACGCTCCTATTGCCTTTGAGCAAACGAGAATCACAAAATTCTGCTTGAGCTTCGCTGGAGTCATTGTTCCTCTCTGAAGATCAATTCATAATTATATTCATATGCTCATCCACACACCCCCTGCCACCGAATATTGAATAATAGAGTAGCTACTTGCTAATTGTTTGTGAATGTGTTCTGTTGCTTGTAAATTTTTTATTACAGAAAGCTTTGTAAACTAATGTGAGCTTAGAAGGAAACAATGCCAGATTGCGAGAAGATGCAACATCATCCTCTGAGACTTACGACTATTGTGTGAACAAGTTCCTTTCTGTTTTTCTGGTGTCAAGGGAACGTTTTTTTGACAGAATTGGGTAGAGGAGGTCTTTAATACCTGGAGAGAGGAATGCATGTGCATTCCCATTCATCTCAGAGGCAGTTTCTGGTGCAGGACTCTCAGAAGTATAGCAGACAGGGAAAAATATACAGTGAATACACCTACTTTTTAATGGCCATCATTGAAGAAAGATACTTTTTGCCCAGAGTATTTGGCAGGGGCTGGACAATGCTATAGCCAAACCTGTTGAGGATAGATCTGACTGGACAGACTTTTTAGACGTCCATTTTAAAGGAACATTTTTGTGAAAGTAAAACTGTATTAAAAAACCAGTCACTATATCATGATTTTGGATTGTTTGGCTCAATAAATCTGACTCATATTCTCTGAAACATGTATGAGATGGAGCTGGTGCATGCGGTAGAAGCCCTTACAGAGTTCAACGCTCAAAATACCCGACCGCACAATTCATATTCAAAAGCACCGCAGGACCAAATGCAAAGTTATCCTGAATTTAAAAAATGTCCCTCAGTTATTGGTCTTTTGCTTTCTGCCTGGCTTGACAATTTGAAACTTCCACTAGCATTCTACCGTGAAAAGATAAAGTCAGTTGTCAGCTCACAAAAAGCGGTCTAGTAAATGCAAATCTTTGAGGGTGATGGAATCTATTTAAATTGTGTATGCAAAATGTCATAGATTGCACCAAAGGATTTTTAATGACATGTTTTTAAGAAAACAAAAAACAAGTCTAGACTGCATCCAGGGTTTAATTCTGAGAATGTGTTTGGTTGAATTGAGATGTGCTGAACACTGAGAAGAGAGGGAAGGTTACATTTAGATAACATGAACTAACGTCATTAGCACTGCAGATGGTACAGACTGTTCTCTGCTCATCCCCATAGTTACCATCAATACACCCCTTACCTAAAATCAGAAAGAATGGCACGGGGATGCAGACACCTTCAAACACCTCAAACATCAGATTACAGGCACTGATGTGTTAGGATTTACCCTTTCTAAAATAACATTTTTGTTTATTGTTGTTGTTATTAACACTTTATTTTACAGTGTTACATGTTACCTGTATGTTACCTGTAAATTATTAATAATTACATTTTCGAATCTTAAATATTCTTACTTTTATTATTGTACGATTAAATATTTTATTATGATAATATTATATTAAAAAGGCTCATAATAAAATATTATTTTAATATTATAAAAAAATATAGTTTTGTCTATAATAATAATAACAATAATAATAAATCTATACATTAAAAAAGGTCATAATAAAATGGCTCATTGGTGGGAAAACATTCTAAAGTGAGAGGGAGAGAATTGGAATATGGGGAGGTCATAAATTTTACTTACGTCATAAGTCAGTTAAAAGTTGAATCCAAAAATAACACTGATAATTGCTAGTACGTCTTAAAGTTTGTTAGTTCGACTGACCTGGGTTTCATCCTCCATTTTCGAATGATTGTCCATTTAAATGGGAGATCAACAGCTGCAAATAGCTTTTTATCTCTGTCCATTTATGCCTAATTCACTCCCTCTCTCACTTTTCATTGCTGTGCTCTTTTATTACTCCTCTGTGTCCGTTTTCTGCTGTAATGTGAAAACGATAGAGGCAGGCTTATTCATTACACACATTAATGCACATTGTCTTTAAGCGACTCGGATGCCCCTTTGTGTACACCGTCTGTGAGCCTGAGGGAAGACCTGCCTGCAGTGTGATCGACTGCTCTTAGCTTTAAGCTATTAGCTGTAACTGTGCCTCAGGCGTATTTATGTTTAAAGCAGAGCATCAGGTGTATTATATGACAGACTCTGGGTGGATCTCAGAAATGAAAGGATTTTTTGCCTTTCAAGTCATGTATTCATAGCAAACTGTTTAGAGACATCCAGAGCGGGTTGTTTGTAATTGAGAAGAATGTCTTTTTCTCTCCGTCTCTGTGAAATCCAGATAACCAATACTGCTGGGGCAAAAGGGGACTGAAATATGGCTCTCATTAATACTATCTCCTCCTAAATGTATTTCTCACCTTAGAGAGATGACATGTCGAGACTAAAATTAGCAGCCTAAATTTGGCTTCTGATTCAGAGAGAACATTTTTTTGATGGTGTTTCTAAAAGGTCAGAGACTAAATAATAATGCCACATTGCTGTATTTAAACTTTGGGATTTCAAAAAGTCTTTTAGTCTATATGCTGGAAATCCTGTTTCATTCACAAAAACCTCAACGCTGTGAGGAGATGCATCAGCTCTTATCCTGGCTCAGGTGTTTCCTTTGGGGGAAGCGTTTCTCAGATACTAAAGATCAACCATTGATTTAATGTTATTTACACAGCTTTCTGGAATACTTGATTCTGATTGGTCAATCGCAGGATTCAGCAGATATTTCCTAGTATTTGCTGCCGTCCATGGGAATGCTATATATCAGACCACAAATGGTAACTGAAACCAACACTACTTTCATGTCTTTTGTATCACAGACTCTCGCTGACGCTGACTCTTGTTTCATGCAAACGCAACCGCTGCCATATTGCATCTCAGTTATCGACTGTAGTGCAGTTTTGTTATTGTTAACTAAAACTATTTAAAAAAATCACGTTTGGTAATCAAAATAAAACTTCAATAAAATAAAATATAAATATTAGATGAAAAACATTAAATATTAGAAATATTGCCTTGGCAACTTACCGAATATAAGTTTAAGTACAAAAAAATACTAAAACGGAAATAAATTAAAGCTATATATACATATTTTAAAAAAAATGATAAAAGCACAAATAAAGGACTAAACCTTAAAGTAAAATGCAAAATGGAAATATAATAATTAAAGCTACTTCAACATATTAATAAATACTATTATAGTATAAATAATATAAAAATAACCCTGCTGTAGTGAGAAGGACCTCAGATCTTTACTATTATTTTAATATTAAAATGTAATACCGGTATATGTTTAATTTAATTTTAGATTTAAAACATTTGAAAAATTACAAAACAAAATATTTAAATAAATTCTTAAAATCAATATGATGCTTTTTTATATCATAAATATATTAATTATTAATTTATGCCCTTAAACAATACATAAGCTTAAACAAAGCCCCCAAAGCTTAGGTTTGTAGTATGGTAGACTGGTCATGTCAGTCACTAGATGTGTCTAATCAAGCTGTGAGGGTTTCTGACATGCTGTGGCACTCTATAAAAACCAGCTTGAGGGCTCCATCCAAAATCACTCATCACTGCTCAGCTGAGGATACATTATGATAAACTGAAGTATGCTTGAGTATACCAACTGACATCTCAGCTACTCAAAGAGATAAGAGAGCTGTCAAACACGTAGACTCATATATAGTCTGAGAAATAACCGAGGTGGGGAACCCAATTAGCAGTTGTGAACTGCTGCCGGGATGCTTCTGTCAACCACAAATGCACACAGAGACTAAATGGATGCCCATCTGCTGTTGACTTAGACAAGTTCATTACATTTCCCCCTGATCCCTATAGTCGCTTTCCACACTCTTGTCTCCAAGTTACCATCTCTCCCGATGTTCCCTTTCCACTGCCGAGCAAACGGAATATTTAAACACTCAGGAAACACAATCAAATGAGCAGTTCCCTTTTTAACCTGTGTGATTATCTAAAGCGTGAAGAGCTGATCATCATGTGTCTGCTCCACCGTTCCCACAATATTCCACATTAGCTGCCAATGTGAACTCAGGTCGCACATATACAGTAACACTGTAACTTGCCTGCGAGTGAAAAAATCCAAGAGGTCTGTTCCAAGTTCAGCACATGTGAGTTAAGCAGGGAATTTGTCTGTGCTTTTGAAAACAGACAGAAAAGTGCGTGTTTCATGTTAATGAGAAGCAGAGAGTCAGTCTTACCTCTTTCTGTGTCTCTTTCTCTTGTAGAGCCAGTTTGCTTGATGTTACAGCATGATGAATGAGACTCTCCACTGGAGTACGCCACACACGCACAGGTACACACTCATCCTGTTGTTTCCAGCGAGCGTTCAGGCTGTCATCTGAATGAGAAGATGAACGGAGGTAAAGGGGAGGAGAGGAAACACGCACTTCTGCCCTCTACCTTCCATGCGCTGGATCCCTGCACTTAAACTGAGCGCAGACAGAGCGAGTGAGAGAGGGAGAGGCAGAGAGGATGAGAGGGAGCAGCGTGTGTGTGTGTGTGTGTGTGTGTTATGTGTGGGTTAAGTTTTGTCTATATTGAGGAGATAGTAAAACCTGAAATCACCTACATCTTTTGAAGAAGTTAATGGTCTCCATTAGGAAAATGGCTTAAAGCATGTTGAATAGTTCGAATTAAAATTGAAATATGCAGAAAATATTTTGGAAGGGGCAGAGGTTTGCAAGTTAAATTATTTACTTGAAGTACCCCCTGAGCATATCAATTTTATAAAACCTTTACATTTTATTTTAACTTCATGCAGCAAATGATCAAATATTTGATCCATTTTAAAAGACCATTTTTGTGTTCTGTTTGATTGCTTTATTTTTATATAGGAATGCACATATATTGGTACCATATGGGTTGTTGGTGATATTATATTACTTATTTTTGTTTTTGTTTACTGGCCCATGTTGGATATATATATATATATATATATATATATGCCGTAATTGGATATTTCTTTACGCATTCTTATTTCTGTCTGCTTTTACCTTTGCCGTCATCTAATACTCCCTCAAAGATCATCTTTTAAAAACACTAATAATTTTAATTTTAATAACTCATTTATAAGCATTTGAAACAATTTTTTAAAGGTTTATTATTAATATATGTATAAAAACATTTATTTATTTATTTATTTATTTATTTATGTATGCCTAGTATAAAATATTAATATTCAGTTATCAGCCATAACGTGAAAATAATTTTCAGTTTATTAGTACCAGCCAGAATTGTAATATTTGTAGAATATAATATATTAAAATTGTATTCATGAGTTGGAAAACATTGGGTTAGGGGATAGAAAATATAATTTAGTCAGTAAAATATCATTGCATATCAATAAAAGGTATTGAAATTACTAAAGCACAATAGACACACATTAATCTGGGTGAATGCTTCTGAGTATGAGTTTGTGTGTGTGTGTGTGTGTGTGTGTGTGTGGGTGAGTTATTCACCATGTGTAGCAGGATCTGGATATAGTCCAACAGTTGAAGGCAGAAGGTCAGTGTTGGCTCACTAATGAGGGATGGTCTGTGTGTGATTCTGACAGCTCGCTAGAGCTCAATCAACCAGTCTTTCTCTAACACACACACACACACACACACACACTCACTCATCCCCCTCGGTACATCTCAAAATCACCCATTCCGTGGACGAAGATCTCCACTTTCTAAAAGAAAAGAGAGAGAGAGAGAGAGAGAGAGAGAGAGAGAGAGAGAGAGAGAGAGAGAGAGAGAGAGAGAGAGAGAGAGAGAGAGAGAGAGAGAGAGAGAGAGAAATTGCATATGTGTGTGTGAGGTCAAGATCTTTCTGTCATCATCTGACCCAAATGAGAACATTCAAAACCCAACAGTAATACAGTCCAGTTCTCTCTGTTGTAAAGCATCAGTATTACATTTATTCTTCTTGATATCTGTGTGAAGCTGGAATACAAAACAGAGGCTTGAAAGCTAGAAGGTCTTATAAATGACTGGATACTCAATGAAAAAGATGCGAACATGGGTCATTGCAGGATAAGGGAAAGTCTCTGTACATGTTGTGTGGTTACATTTATACATTTAGGTTATCTGATATTTAGTAAAGACATGAAAGTGTGTGCACATCCCTGTCCACACTCTCAAATCCAGAAAGAAATGTATTAACTTTTTAAAGTTCAGGAAACTTGAAACTGTTCCTGTTTCTAATTTTCCATCTATTCGTGGCCGAAAAACAAGAAAGTAAGGCAGGTACTACCAGTTACCATTACTTAAAATTTTTTAATTAATAGCGTGATGCTACTTTTTTCAACCTATTGGCTCATTGGAAAAACATAGCTCAACCTGCATTTTTGCAAATCTCCAAAAACGATAATACAATTCACTGCAGTGTCCAGCTGAACTGAACACTAGAGGCAGTAAAGCATTAACAACTTTTATTCCTTTCGACACAAATTATGATTACAAGGCAGATTATTGATTAATAAAGACTTGTTCTCATGCAGTTCCTTGAACAATACTAAGTTATGACCTCAAACCAATGTAACCGTAGTGCATGATTTGTAAACTAATACATTTTTATGTATGCATTACATAACCAGATCCATATGTATGTCTTTTCTTTATGGCTTTTCCTAAACTTGCTCTGTACCCCCTGTGAAACACGAGTCATGAATGATAAAAGAGCTTTAAAGCTTGTCGAAGCAGGCTTTTGTTTTTTTGGTGAAACCATCCCACGTTGATTCACTAAAACACCCTACACACATTTGCAGCAGAATGCGTTGCTTCTGCAATACGCAGTACGGCATCGAGCACCTGAAGCAGGACAACTGTATTATGACACCTCTGCATTCCACAATACACTCACCGTCATACACATGCACACACACACACGCACGCACTCACGCACACACACACACACACACACACACACACACACACACACACACACACACACACACAATGAATACCCACACAAACTTTTATTTAAGTGTTTCCTCCTTCTCAATCTCTTTCTCCCCCCACACACACACCAGCAGATACAGTTCCATATCATGTTCACATCTAATGGCTTACATTTGCCAACAGTTATTAAAAGATCTCCAATGTCACACCCACATCAACAAACACATATTTACTCTGAAACCATGCCACAAGCATGATTTTGATGAGATGCACGCATGAAATTGTAAAGACGCAGCAGTATCTGATGGCACAAATGTGTCTGTCAGCACAGTCTGAGAAAGTCCTGACGAGGTTAAGCTTCAAATATGTGTCGGCTGAGAAAGGAAAAAACAGAGAAAATGATTTTCTTCAGAATCCTGTTGATGACACATAAATGTCATCGCATGTAGAGACAGAAGCAAGAAGCTTCAAGAAGCTTTTTTTTTTTTAAAACAGCTCAAATTTAAATGTAAAAAATGTATAACCAATGAGTATTTTATATTTAAATTAGTTCTGTTAATCCATTAAAAATAATTGCACATTTTTCTGTAATTTTATCGTGATTAATCGCATCTATCGGGTAGGAAATATACAGAAATTGAACAGTTATCAAACAAATCCTATCTATCTATCTATCTATCTATCTATCTATCTATCTATCTATCTATCTATCTATCTATCTATCTATCTATCTATCTATCTATCTATCTATCTATCTATCTATCTATCTATCTATCTATCTATCTATCTATCTATCTATCTATCTATCTATCTATCTATCTATCTATCTATCTATCTGACTGCTGTTGTGCTCTCTGTGCGAAGAGTTGTGAATTATTGAAAACTGGTCAGGTTTGACTGGTTAGGTCAGTCAAACAAAACAAGAAGAGCAAGGTCTAGAGACGCCTTTTTTAAAAGTTGAACTTTGGCGTAGAATTCCATTTCATGCATGAGACGCTACAAAAGACGCGAGACGTGAGCACAACAGCCAAACGCGTCTGTCTAGTTTACATAGAAAAACAATGGAAAAGTAGCGCGTTCTTTGTGAACTGCCCCTTAATAGCATGTGAATGCTAAACATCCTTTGCAGTGCACCACATCATTATTTCATGAAGATGTTGGTGGCATCTTATGTTCCACAGCAGGCAAGTTGTAATCTATAGGTCTTTTTTTGTTGAGCAAAATGACAAAACTCTTGAGGTCTGGGGAAATAATGAATTGGTGCGGTGGAGGCATTATAGACAATATGAGTGCCTAAAGATATTAAAGAAAGCGAATGGAAAAAAACACACACTTTTAACAAGCCAAAACAAGTGTTAAACATCTAAGAGGGAAAATATTTAGATGTCTTGTCATATATGAAACATGCTGTCCTCATTATCTCTTTTTAGGAAATGGTTAATTTTTCACATCTCTCCATTAACGTTTTAAACTGTTTTATCATGGCCAACCCTTTGGACATCTCGTGTAGAGAGCGACAGAAGAAAACAGATGTAATTAGAGGGAGAAAGACAGATAAAGATGTCAAGAAAGAGAATGAGATTAAGAGAGATGAAAACTGAGGGAGGGAGTTGCTCCCCCCAAAGTTTGTCAGGTGAAATACAGTTTAGCAAAGACCTCCTCCTCACCTTCCTGTTAGTGGAGCTGGCTTTTATCAAGATCACCAGCTGCCTGGAAGAACATACAGAGATAGTGATGGAAAAAAGAAAGCAAGCAGAAAAAGATCAACGTTAAAAGCCATAGAATGGTGAGTGATGTTGTTGAATAGCGTGAATGTCTGCCATCAAAACCAAAGCAATGCTTTCCTATGGACCTATTGACAGTGGAAATGAAATGTGTGCAATATTTCTTTTGTCTTGAAGGTGGTTATTTTGTCCTCAATTCACTGAAAAACTGACAGAATAATAAGGCCCAATTCATACTGAGAAAGGATTTTCATCATCAGTTTCATTTGACATCAAAACAATACATTTCCTACAAACTTGTTGTCAAGCCGGAATCAAATACTTTTTTTAGGTTAGAAAAACTGTACAACTATTCGATTTACGCTTTGCTTATTGTGAGACAGATGGGTTCAAATCAGTGATCTGATCACAGTGGCTTGCTCTCTTTCTAATCACACAGAATAAATTTAGCTGCAGGTTTTCACTGATCTCCAAAGAACTGCTAATTAAAGGTAAATCAATCTGCACTTTGTAAACCCTGGTGCTTACAGAGCATCGATTTAATCTACATCATTTAGCTCATTTGAGGCTGTGTATGGTTTACAGTCTTTAAAATTTGCCAGTAATTCATTTTAGCATATGGTGTGTGTGTGTGTGCTTCTTAGAAGAACAACAATGGAAGAAAAAATCATCCGTTATTATCACTTTATAATAACTGATTTAATCATGATTATTGTGAAAAATCTGTCAGAACTGGTGTATTTTGTGCTTTTATTTTGCAGTTTTGAGGCAGAAAGTCAGCATTAAAGTTGGCCACATCAGGAGAAGTGGAAGCTAATATTCTTCTTCCATTAGGTTTTCTGAAGG